TGGACCAGGCCTTCCCATGGAGATGTCCACAGGCAGTGTGTGGAGAATGACAAAAACACACAACAGGAATGTAACGGAAGGGGAAGGGCCAGTGACTATGGCAGTTTTGATTGTGAGTTGACAGGAATTCACTGTGAGGCAAAAGCACAGAATGGTAGAGTTGTGGAGCTGGATGAGATGACAAGGATCCTTTAGTTCAGTGTTGTTCAAACTTGCTGGCTGGGGGATTCTGGGAGTTGAAGTCCACATGTCCTAAAGTGGCCAAGTTTGAACAATGCTGCTTTAGTTCAATCCTTGGAATACATAGGGAAACCAATTAAGCCATGCTTGACAGGAGGCCGCCCAATTTCTTCTTAAAAGCCTCTAGAAATGGAAAACCTACAAACTCCATAGACTGTTCCACTGTTGTACAGATCTTACTGTCAGAAGTTTTTCCTTATATTTAAATCAAATGTATGTAGCTGTAACTTATACTCATTATTTCTGGTCCTAACTTCTATAACAATGTATAATTGTTTTTGACAACCTTCCCTAAAGCACCCTTTTATGTACCTGAATGCTGACATCATCTCTCTTTTTAGTTTTCTTTTCCCAGCCTGAACATCCCAGTTTTCTTCCACCTGTCGTTACGGGGCATGTCCTCAAGTCTCTGTATCATCTTTGCTGTTCTCCTCTTAACCTATTAATAACCTTCTGAAAATATGTTGTCCAGAAGCATATACAGTACTCCAGGTGGGGTCTCACCAGCATAGTGCAGAGGGAATACAGACTTCACATGTCTTTAATACAGTGCTTCTCCTGACGCAGTCCAGAACGATATTAGCCCTTCTAGCAATTATTTCAAACTGCTGGCTCATGTTCAGATTGTTTTCAGTAGCAATACCTACATTCTCCAATGTAGTGCTTCCAAGCCATGAATGTGTAGCCTGTATTTTTCCTCCCAAAATGGAGTATCTCACATTTCTCCTAATTGAAAGGCATCCTGTCCTCTCAGCCCAATCTTCCAACCCTCCCGGATTAGACTGCAATCTTTTTGTCTTCCTAGATGTTGCCAAATCTTCCAATTTTGTGTCATCCACAAATCTGATAAGCAGCCCATCAATCCCATTATCCATACCATTTGTAAAAATGTTGAATAATACTGACCCAAAGACAGATCTCTGCAGAAGCCCATTGGTTACTGTTCTCCAGCTTAACGTAGAGCCATTACTGTCAAGTCTCTACGTGCAAGCCAGCCAGTTGTGGGCCCATCTTACTGTAGTGCCACCCAAACCATACTTTAACAGCTTGTCAATGAGAATGTCATGTGGAACCTTCTCAGATACTTCATGAGCAGACAGATAACAATGGATACGTTCCTCATTTGGACACCCTGCATTGTTCATGGAATCCTGCAGGTGAGTGCAGATAACAGTGCACTAAGAACAAAATATCCCCACAATGCTTTTGCTGCACTAGGAACTGTCCACCAGAAAGCACGCAAATCCTAAGATGATCACTTTTAGTAAATTATACAGTTTTGAAAGGGGAAAAAAAAAGCATGCTATTTAACATGTTTATATCATGCCTTTTTAATTTCCTTGGGAGGAAAGCCATGGCAAGCCTAGATAGCATATTAAAAAGCAGAGACGTCACCTT